ACGGCTATGTAAAAAAAAAGTATTTAAAAATAACTAAAATGAAGAAAAATAAACAAGTGCATATCATGACATTAGAATAAAAAAAATTTTTAAATATTTACGTAATGTTGACATTCATCAAAATTGGTCCATCGTGAATTTTGCTAATTCAAAACTTAGCCACGCGAATTTAGCCAATAGTAAACTTTGCGATTCATGAAATAAGTGGATGCTAAATTTTGTTAACAATTGAAATAGCTGTTTGTAAACTCAGCGGTTTATGAAAGTAGCAGATTCTTAATTTTAACGCTTAATAAATTTATCTATTATACATTTATTTATGATATTTCTGGAGCTATAAAATTTAAAGACAAAAGCCTTTTCTCAACTACAGGTCAGTCAAGAATTGATTTTCCGAAATTTTAATCACGGATAATATTACGCAGCCGATAATGATAAAAAAAAATTCTTGTAAGCAGGAATTCATGGAGGCTTGTGTAATGTGTGATAAAAGATTTTATTATAATTTAGTTATGTACATATCGCGTTACAGATGCCATAAGGGCGTATAAAAATTATGCACCCTTATGGCACCCGGTAACTATAAGGGCGTATAGTAAAAATTTTATTCTTTTCTCCAAGCTAAAATTTTTTTTGGACTTAGAAAAAAAATAGGATTTTTATTATACGCCCTTATGGTTACCGGGGGCCATAAGGGTGTATAATTTTTATACGCCCTTATGGCATCTGTAACGCGATATGTCCATAACTAAATAAAAATAAAATCTTTTATTACACATTGTAATGTTTATGGGTCAGGTTTTATAAGAGAGCACCATTTACAATTAACAGTCTTATTTATTGCTATAGCTAATTACATGTTACTTGTGTCAGGCCCATGGTTGGAATGGTCTGAGCCTGGGTGTCAGCGTACAAGCAGGACCCCAGCGCGCTCTATAGTCTATTTCCATACATTACACTCCTCCCTTCATATTTTGAAAGAATATTCTAAATATTATAATACACAGTCATTCTTTATGTACAGCACACACACTCCTATAATCAAGTCTTATTATTATTATAATTTATTATGATACATTTGAATCAAGATCTGTCGAGATCTATCGTAATCAACAATTATATATGATCAGTTATAAATTTAACCGTACAGGTAGTTTACGAATTCGAAATGACTTACGAGTTACAAGCGGCGCAGTCGTTGTTCTGGTCCGAGGAGCTACCACCATCTCGCTCAAAGCATTATCACTAGTCAAACAATTGCTGTGAGAATGGTTTACGTCTGATTTACTGTCGACCTTTTTCATTATCCCAGCTTTAAAGATATCAACTTGATTCGACACGCTATATGACATCTCATTCCCTATGCTATTCTCTACCTCATTCTCCTGCCCCCTAAATCTTTTTATTTGGTCCACATGTCTTTTCCATATTTTGTGATCATCAGTGCGTACCTCATAGATGATCGGGCTAAAAATTTTAATTATTGTCGCCGGAGACCACGACTCATTACTATAATCTCTTACAACGAATCGTTCATTTTCATTAAATTGTTCAGTTCTATTCCCACGGTAATTTCTTTGCTGAGCCGCTTGCTGATTTTCTACTCTGTCGCTAATTCTATTTGTTAAAAAATTCCATTTAGTTCGGACTTTTCTCTTTAAATGTAATTCAGCTGGGCTTAAACCCGTAGTACAATGAGTTGTTGATCTATAATGAAACAAATAACTATCAAGTGCTTCAGCTCTGGAATATCCGTTTAACAACAGTAATTCAAACTTAGCTTTGAAAGACTTAACTGTGTTTTCAGCTAAACGATTAGACTCGGGATGATATGGTGCAGTCAACATGTGAACGACACTATGTCTCTCTAAAAATTCTTCAAATTCGTTGGATGTAAATGTTGGTCCATTATCAGTGACTAACAACATGGGTAAATCCCAATTTGCAAAATATGTTCTGAACACAGCTATAGTCATGGGAGCCGTTATGTCTTTCATAGCTCTCATGTCCACCCATTTCGAGTACGCGTCTATTACTACTATATATGGGGTATTCCATACCAAATCGACCACTTTTGAACCTGACCTGTTTATATATAGCTGAAACTTTACTATTCTTTTCTACCCTTTGAAAGACATTTTTGAGAATTTTGTCAAATTTTTTTATCCATCCTAAAAAAAGTTATGAATTTTTCAAAAAAATGGCCTTTTTATTTTCAAATAGCCATAACTTTATTAGAAATTGACTTTTGGGTACGTGTTTTTTTTAAATTTTTGTTTTTGAATGAACTTTTCGAAAAAATATACGAAAATAATTTAACATGATCAATTACATAAAATAATCCGTTTTTTTAAAGTAAAATCGTCATTTTTTCGAAGTCCGCAATTTCCTTTTTTTTTTTTCTCAAAAAAAACTTCAATTAATTTGACAACTATCTCCGCTAATCCCGAGTAGGGCCGATTTTTTTTTATTTATTTAAAAAAAAATTGTCAAATTTTCAAAAATGGAAAAAATTTTTTTTCCGTAAACTTCATTTTTATCATAAAATAAATATAATTTAACGATTTTATGATATAATATTCTCAATTTATAGACTTAATTTACGAATATAATGACTGTTTAATGATTATTACAGTTAATATCCAATGAATTCACAAAAACAATACAAAAAATTATTTATTAATTTTCTCTTTGGCGTTTCAATATTTTACAAATTCTGTGTTCATTAGAGTTTGAACATTTTTTAACATACAAACAACCATTTTTGTCCGGAATTACACAATGTAGTTGTTGAGTTCCTACAATTGGTTTCGTTTTCAAAAATCTGTCATTTAAATCAGTTAATGCTGTATTATAATCTTCTTCTGGACAAAACTTAACTATGATATTTGGGAAGTTATTTTTTATCATGACCGAATTGTGTATATAATGAGTGTTTTTCATGCCATTTAAGTCAATTAACTAGTAGGTGTTGTTTCAAGTCAACCCCATTTATTTTTTCAAAGTCTGTCTTTACTCTCACTAAAATAATTTACTTTCATTTCTTTCATTTAATTAACATCTTTACTCGAATAGATACTACAAGCCTACAGCTTCACTAGTATTCAAGTTTGATGGATTACCATCGAACTTATGTACAGAGAGGATATCTCTCGATTAATAAGGGAAGATGGAATTTATCCATTTCTCGACTTGAAACAACACCTACTAGTTAATTGACTTAGATGGCATGAAAAAGATATTTGGGAAGTTATTCGGATTAGAAGCCCATTCAAAAAATTCTATCGGTGTTGTTGTTTGTTTATCAACTGCAAGTTGGAGACTTGCTCTTGCTGCATGTCGTTTGATGATGCCACCAATTCCATCACACAGACCTTTGCCATGGGCAGTCGCAGAAAAATGCCATTCAGCAGGAATATCAAAATCATCTCCATGATAATATAAATTTACAAAATTTTTAAAGTTTTCGAACTGTTGAAGAGCCCCATCAAAAAAATAATAAATCTTGTAACAGTGTTCAGGAAGACTTTTTACATAATCAGTTATTAGTTTGATGAAAACATGAACAGCAACGGCATCGTGATTATTACAGTCTGAAATAATTACTAAACTATTGTGTTCAAATTCATCATTTACTTTGTAATAAATAATCAGCGGAAAAACTGTTGCCTGGTTATTATTCAAAAATTTGGCTTGTTCTTTAGCAATGAATGAGTGAGGTAAAAGAACTTTTAGTTCACTACAAAAGTTTTCAACAAATTCTTCTGTAGGCTTGATAAAAGTTTCCAAACTACTTCTCGGTTTTGATATCCAATACTTATACGTAATATTTTCGATCTCCTGATTCTCAAAATATGTTAGTAGAATGTTACTCAATTCATGTACCCCTGGACAGTTGTTACATCCACCCAAATAACATTGCACCGATGGAGTCTCACAACTTATCATGTCCAAACATTCACTATAGTAATTCATGGGCTTTTTTGTATTTATTGTTAAAGAATGAAGATTTGCACCTAAAAGAAAAGTTGTTAAATAAACAGAAAATTCACACATTTATAATTATTAATTAATTTGATAATTACCAAGCGTCATCAACTTGAAGTTTTGATGGATCGTACATACACAGATGGTGTGTGTTCTACTTGCTCCTGCTAACACACAATGTTTCGGTCGTAAAGAAGCGAATTTCAAAAATCCAATTTTCTCAGCTGGGTTTATTTCACGGAAATATTGGTACAGTTCCTTTAAGTTAGAGAGAACAAGCCGTTTTCGGACGTGTACTCGATTACCATCATTATTTCGAACTGAAACAAAGTCTTTCATACCGGGCATCAAAGCACTATACTCATCATCGTTGTAAGAATTCTCAATTTTTAATAACGTTTGATCAGTAATTGTCTTCCCTATACAAAAAATGTTAAGTAAATCAGTCTTCAGATGTGCCAGAAACATCAATTCTCCGCTATACCTAACTAATTTCGATTCAGGTGTTGAAAGTAGACACTTTTCTTCAACCAATTTTTTTGCTACCCTTGTTAAATGTCGTGATGTATTCATAGTTTCACAAATACGTCTTTCATTCCATTTTTCAGGTAACAATGTTAAAATTTGTATTTTTAAAGACTTATCCGTTTCTTTATCATTGAATTTATCATGCAGCTTTTAATTAAGGAACAAAAATTTTCGCCATCATCGTCGATCGATCCTTCATCGGCAGCTGAGAGCAAAATTTTTTTTAAGCTGACAGATTATTCAAGTGATTTTTTTTTTTAAGTTATAACTTTGATACACTTTTGGATTCCATTGTGACTATAAATTAAAACAAATACAAATAGGTACATATTAATTAAGCAATTAAGATTTAGAATCTATGAAAATGAAAATAAGCATAAGTAGCAGAACTAAGTAAAAGATAAAAAAAACATTAAAAATAAAAACAAAAAGTATAATGCCACAAAAAAGGAAATAAAAATTTTTGTAGGTTGAGTAAATATTATTTAGATGTTATCTCCAGCAGACAGATACAGTTCTCTCAGAAAATGATCCAGAGACTTTAAATTCGTTTCGGATTGGTCGTCCAGAATAAGCGCTAGGTTCATTCTTGGGCCTAGTTCCTCAGCAAGTTGCAGGTGTGATAGGCGAGGGATATAAAAAAAGGGGCAGTCAAGCAAGAAGTGTTTGACTGTTTCAGCTTCGTTATTATGGCAATAGCAGTATGTTTGTTTAGGCTGTAGTTTAATTACTGATTTATCAACTGAGATGTTGCAAGTGAAGAAGTTGGCTAGTCTTAGTTGAATCATTGGCACAATTAGGCGCTGCGAGCAAAATTGAAGGTAACTTGGCAAACCATCAGATGGGTTCCTGTATAGAATGATGTGGCATGCCGAGGAGTGAGTGTACCTCTCCAGGTCCAAGTTGCGCAGAAACTCCTGGTATTTGTTGATGATTCTTTCTTTGTTGAGCTTCCAATGATTCGAGGACAGGGTGTCGAGGATGTTTACTTCGTCTATGGTTTGCAGGATTTTTTTTAGGTGATGAATCCAGTTAGGTTTGTCGGGGCCAACTTTGCTGAGGGCAATAAATCGTATAAAACAGATTTTAGGTAGACTGTCTTGGTTCATGTCGAGTATTTTGATGACCCAACTAAAGGCAGCTTTGAAGATTTCCAGGGAGATATGAGATAGATTAAGTTCTAGGCGTAGTGCATAATTCGGAGTACAGGCTGGGATATTCAGCAGGCGCTTATAGAAGTATAGATGAGCTATCTCGAGCTTTTCCATGTAGCAAGAGTTCAGGCCCCATGTATGTACGAGATATAGGAGCGTCGCGCGAGCAATACTATTATAGGTCTTAGCTTTGCTTTGCCAGGAGTTTGTTCTAAGACGAGACAGAATAGAAATGACCGTTCCTAAAGCTTGTTTGCCTTTTCTGATAGCCGACGTAATGGCAGACCCACCGTGAGCTGAGATATTGAAAGGTACTCCTAAGTAAGTGTAAGATTTGACAATTTCAAGGCTGGAGCCTTTATATATGAAGTCTTTGTCACCTTTCTTGACTCTACCTGATGATCTGCATGGCATTACCTTAGTCTTTTCGGTGTTCACGGTTAGGTCATTTAGAGTACAGTAATCCTCTAATATCTTTAGTTTAGCTCTGAGACTAACTTCTGAGCGAGATAGGAGTACAATATCGTCGGCGTATAACAGCATTAAGATGTCAAGTGATCCATTCAGACTTAGTCCTTCCATCCCACGCTGAGCAAAGAATTGGATAATGTCAGATAAATATAGATTGAATAGCAGAGGGCTTAAAATTTCACCTTGAAGTACCCCGATGGTAATGGGAATCGGCTCTGTTGTTTGACCATTTACTCTAACTTGTAGCGAGGATTTTTTATAGAAGTTCATCAAAAGTCTGATAAATTTGGAGTTTATGCCGAAATTGCTGAGTTTCTCCCACAGTTTGGTGTGTGGAACTGAGTCAAATGCGCGCTTAAAGTCAATAAAAAGGGCGTAAGCAGAAACTTTTGGAAAGCGCAGCTGCATCTGGAGGAGCGCTTGAAGAAGAAATACATTGTCTGCAAAACTTTTGCCGACAGTGAAACCCGCCTGTTCGTCTGGGATAATCTTGGCATCAGCAGCCCATTTATACAGTCTCGCATGGAGCATCTGCGTGAAAATTTTCACAATACTGTTGACTAATGCTATGTTTCGGTAATTAGCTGGGTCTTTGGGGTCACCTTTTTTATGCAGCATAATCATGACAACTTTTGTCCAGTCATCCGGCACTTCTTCAGACTTTAAGATTTTGTTGAATAACGATAAAAGATATAGGGTCCAGTTATCTGGCAGTGCTTTCAAAAAATTCATTGCTGATTGCGTCTAGCCCAGGTGACTTGTCATTCTTGGATTTGTTAATACTTGATAAGAGTTCCTCCATGGTGAAATCCTTGTCTAAGTTATCCGAGTAATTATCGAGGATTGCTGGAGGGGGTGAGATTTGTTCAGGGTAGTTTCTTAGGAGAAATTCGTACAAAGTGTCAGGCGAGATTGGATTGACCAGCGCTTTGCGGCCCCTGACTGCTCTCACTGCCTTCCAGAATTCTGAAGAAGATCTCGCCGAGTCAAACTGGTTTGTAATATTCTTCTGATATTGTAGGGCCTTGGCTGACAGCATAGCGCGGTAATCTTTCTTCGCGTAATGGTAAGCTGACCAGAGTGCATTGTTTAAGATGTTTTGTTTACAGAAATTCAGCAGCCGTTGGACAGACCTTTTTTTAAGTTTACATTCGTCGTCAAACCACTGTTTTGAGTACGTTGGGCTAGATGAGGCACTAATTACTTTGCGCTGAATGACCATATTAGAGCTTGAGGCCGATGCAGTGATCGCTGAACAGAAAGCCCCATGCAGGGCGTCGACAGATGCTGTAGTGAAATTTTGACCTATGAGCGACGACCATCTTAAGCATTCGAGAAAGGTGTTGGCTTGATGTGGGACCCATTTGAGCATAGACCTGATGCGAGCTGAGTGATCACGCTGAGGTTGGATGTGGATCTGTGTGCGTAATGAAATAGATACTGGGAAATGATCAGAGTTTGACAGAATGTAATTAATTTGCATATCAGTAACTAGGTTAATACTAGCAGAGTTGACCCAAATGAGATCAACCGTGCTTTTACCGTTAGCGTTGCTGAAAGTAAAGCCACCTGGACAGTCATTTGGAGATCGGCCATTCATCAGGATAAAGTCGTTACTGCCCATGAAGTCCATCAGAATGTTGCCTTGATGATTGGATACGGTATCTGCTGGTGATCTTGTAGCTTTCAGAACAGAGCCTTCAAAAAAAGAAGGTTCGTCTGATAGGAAAGTCCCAGTTCTCGCGTTGAAATCGCCGCCTAGAATTATGGCGTCATAAGCTAAATTTTCAGTTAAGTTATTGAGAATTAATTGTAATGAGTCTAACGTATAGTCTAAGTTTTTAAGGTCGGGTTTAAAGTAAAATGAACCAATTATTATACTTAAACCTTTCAGCGTGCATTGAGTAAACAGCCAATTTGGAGATATGTCCAGGAACTGGCATGAGCATCATCGACGTACGTGTAAAGGCCGCCACTTGCTCTTCCAAATCTATTCTCTTTTAAAGCCGGTGAAATGAAGTTGGACCAGTTGTTAAAAGGTGCAGGTGCAGGAGGGACAAGGCAGTTTGAGGTTAACCACGTCTCGGAAAGGCAGAGGGCATTGAATGGCATTAAGTTGAGATCCTTCAGGTTCCTGGTAACGTTGATGTTCCAAAATGTGATGGTAATGGCTTCTTCGAGAGCTTGTGAACTGTATTTGTCGCTGGAGATATCATTACATCTGTTTTTGAGGTGAATACTGGTGCGCTAATGATTGCGCAGGAGCTGAGGGTGAAGTGGATATGCTGGTTGATTGCGAAGTGCAAGGTACGATGGAGTTTATAGACGAATCAAATCTGAAGCCTGTGCCATTTATGTAGATTCTCTGGTGACCAATCTTCACTGTCTTGCCTTCAGCCCTCAATTTCCTCGCTTCAGCTCTCAGCTTAGCCGCGATTGCCCCTTCCTCGTACGTCAGGTCGTGATCGATGTAAACACCGGGTTTAAGGAGCTTCTTTTTGACCATTATGGTTTTCTTGACACTAGCGTCGCTCAGGGTGGCTATAATGGTTGGGCTCTTTGAATTTACCAACCGAGCGTCTTTGACTACGTTGTTTATCTTAAAATTTGCCCTAATAAAATCATTTAATTTAGCAATTGCATTGTCCGCCTCCACCGAGATACCACGAACAATGATATTATTCTTACGCATGTATTTGTCAACGGCGGTGATGCTGGCACTGATCAGATTGTTTTTAAGCTGGACTAAGTTGTCAGTTCTTGCTTGGGTTGACACATCGTCTGCCGCCGCGGCAGATCCATCGTTTACCGTTTCTAGTATCGTAACGCGTGCTTTTAGATCATTTATTTGATTTTTCAGGACAGCATTTTCTTCACGGAGAGAGGTTAGCTGGTTGGAGTGCTCAATACGGGCTTCAGAGATTTCTCTAAGAAGCTCTGACTTCATTGTCTCTCTGGCTTGGTTGTCCTCCTTTCTCCACCTTTCCAATGTCTTCAAGATTTCTGAATCTCTAGCCAATTCCTCCGGGTTCGGCATCATAACTGTTGAAGTGCCCCTATTGTAGGCGGAGGAATCACCAGTGAACTGTAACGAGCGCGGGAGGTTGTTTGGTGGAGAGGATTCTGGAGGAGATGTAGGTGATTGATTTTTACTCTTTGTAGCGTCAAATTGTAAGAAATTTTTTATCGAAGGAGAGCGAACAGACTGTGCTTTAGGTTGAGTCGCTGTCTTGAACACACGCGTGCGCTTCCTTGTGGGTGGCTGATAGGCTGGGGTATTTAAGGTTCGTGGAATTGAATGGGCTGGTAAAGCATTAAATTCAAATGTAAAATCTGGCGCGTATGGGCTGAGAGGTTGTTTGTTATAGGTTAGGGCGAGAGTTATTCATGGAGCACGAGGCGTGTGCTGTTGCGAAGACGTAGATGTAGATTCCGGTTCTTGGGTGGATGGATTGAAGACTAGAGCTGGTGTGTAAGTTTGTTTGTCTGGACTCAACTGTGAGACCGCTGTGCGATTTTCCATGACATACTAGCGGTGGAATACGGCCACACTCGATTTCACAACCACGTGCTGATATCTCGAATAACCTCACATAACCCCACTTAGACAAATTGACAAAGTTTAAGTACAAAAAACATGAAAATCACTGAACACTGGGACCTAGGGAACTACCCCATGTACTAGAGAGCAAATAAAGTCTTATAAATAAATTAATCTTGGTTAAAATAGTAAAAAATAAAATAGAAACTGTAATAAAACTGTAAGTTTACTTAAGACACAACTGTACGCTTCAAGCGCCACGAACGGAATCCTTAAGCTGACAGATATCTGATTTATTTTATTATTTAAAAATTGATAATCATTTAAATTTTAACTTCCCGCTAAAAATCTCAGATTTTCAAAAATCGGGAAGTTATTGTTTTCACCCCGTTTTACAAAAATCGAGTTTTCATCAGATCTCGACTTTTGAAGGTCACAGGAAGCTTCCCTGACTATTTTTACGATGATGTCCGTACGTCTGTATGTATGTGTGTGTGTGTGTTGTTTTTTTTTTTTCCCTTTAGGGGGGGGGAATCCTTTTTACGGATTCTAGGCATAGATGTTGGCCCGGATATGTGGCGACTCGACGCAGCATCATACTAAAACTTGACGCTGACGCCCCTACCCACTAAACCCTAAACCCCTTTCTCTTCTATCCTCTGATCCCCCATGGTACCGCCGTAAGGCATTTCTTCGCGGGGGGAGGAATTAGCTGCCGCTCTTCCTTCTGGTGGCTAAGATGTTTTCTTCCTTCTAGGTTCTGTCTTTTGCTCTTTTTCTCTCGATGGAACGCAGCTCTGTAAGTACTTCTGTGGCAAAAGTGTTCGTTGCATTCCAGGCAGTTTCTGAAGACAGCATTGCTTCTACGATTGACTGTGGTTGAATTGTCTTCTTCAGGATCTTCTCCAGCTCCTCACGTTGTTGATTGAAACGCGAGCACTCGAAAAAAACGTGCTCTACATCTTCAGTGGCTCCAGGGCAGGACGGGCACTCCGGAGAGTCGTCATGCCTAAAGCGGTGAAGATAAGCCCGAAAGCAGCCATGTCCTGACAACATCTGTGTTAGGTAGTAGTTGACCTCACCGTGATTCTGGTTTAGCCAAATGTCGATCTTTGGTATGAGACGATGCGTCCATCTACCCTTCTCTGCGGCATCCCACTGTGATTGCCATCGTGCGATGATGTGCTGTAGGTAGTAGTTGACCTCACCGTGATTCTGGTTTAGCCAAATGTCGATCTTTGGTATGAGACGATGCGTCCATCTACCCTTCTCTGCGGCATCCCACTGTGTGTGTGTGTGTGTGTGTGTGTGTGTGTGTGTGTGTGTGTGTGTGTGTGTAAACCTCTTGGAACTTTTGAACGACTTGACCGATTTCATCGCGGTTGGTGTCATTCGAAAGGGCTTCACTAAACTTAGATTTCCTGAAAATTTGAACCGATTTGAACCGGTAGATTTCGAGAAAATCCAAAAAAAGTGAAAAAAAGTTGTTTTTTTTTATTTTTTTTCAAATATCTCCGAATTGGCTGAACCGATCGGTCTCAAAAACTAATCAGCTCGTAACCTTGAAAACCCCCATCAATTGCCACCAAAAACGTTAGAATCGTTTGATGCGTTCGTGAGATATCGTTGTCGAAAAAAATCGAAAAAAGTGTTTTTTTGTAATAACTTCGAAATTCATGTCTCGATCGATTTAAATTTGAAGATTTTCCATGGAGCTTCAAAAACTGCGTCGATTGCCGCCAACCACGTGAAAATCGGTTCATTCATTCAAAAGTTATTGCCGTTCGAAAATTAAAAAAATTGTGTCTTTAAACTGCTATTAGAGTTTTGAGCTCGAAGAGCTCAAAAACGTAATGTGTAGTTTGAAGCGTTTAAGTACAAAATGAGCGGGAAGTTGCAGGGATGGCCTTTAGGGTGAACCGTTTTTCTAATTTTTTTGTAGGAATAGGCGATTGATTCAACAGTCGCAATGTATCGTTCATAACGGGTAATTGAGTTGATTGCCGAGCTTGATTGTGAATTTTTTGGTTCGCTATTAAACGACAGGGAATCTTAAAAAAACAATGAAACATGTAGTTGCTAGGAATTTATTTAAGTAATGTATGAATAATTTTTAAGAACTTACGGAATAATAAGGATAACGGAAGATCTGTGGCAGATGTGTTACTATCACTGTTAGCACCATCATTTTTCTCATTGTTGTCACTAGAATCATCTTCATGGTCACTTGCATCAACCTTAGGATCATCACTAGTATTTGTTTGTTCCTTTACTAATTTTGAAGCTTCTTTTCGACACGAACTGCATAACAAACAATTTCCATCTAATTCTAACGATACTTTCATAATGTCAGTTGCTGGACGTAAACCCATTTTTCTTAAATGTGATTCCAACTTAAATGGATTACAACATCGATCGAATTGCTTTATTGATGCCATAATTTCTTCATAAAATTCTTCTAATCAATTTAGATTAATAGCATAAAACAATTAGCTTTTCAAATAACACCAAATCAAAATAGCCTTCATAAACTATAATAATCATTTATTTATATAGCAAATGTAATATCAACAACCTTTCACTAGACACTTGATCGCATAAAAGATTAACAGCAATTTACAGGTTATGTTTTAGACAGTATGAAAAAACCGTACTCATAAATCGATATACACTAGCGTATAGTTTCTAGTATACTGACTATAAGTAAATCTACAATTGTCCTACCCTAGTTTATCGACCTTACTGATAGGTTAAAATTTTAATCTTGGTGATTATATTCGTATATTAAATCTTTAAATTGAGAATTGTAGCACAAAATCGTTAAATTATATTAAATTGAATTATGAATACTCATCTGTAACGGGTAATTTTACGGGATTAAATAACCAACAAAAGAACGCACACTGCAACTCGAACGCCCCCTTGCTCGAATCTGAAACTCGCCGAATTCCAGGGTTAAAAGGGGGTTGTCACCAATATACAAAACCGAAATAATTGCCAAAACAACTCAATTAAACGTAAATATTAGATATATAAATAAATCTAAAGAAATAAATTCGAAAAAGTCAAGCAGGTTATGATAGAGACAAATTTTATTTATCAACATCAATTAAATAAATCAATGAAAAAGATTACAAAGTAAGAAAAACACACTTAATACAATTTTAGGTTACATTAAACCCCAAAACTAAATCTAGATTAACAGGTGTCGTTAATCGAAACGAAAATACAAAGAAACGATTTCAAACAATAGTCTTGCGTCGGTAAAACGCACGCGTACCTTCCGTCGGTAACGGAGATCCAATCAAAAACTGATCTTTACAAAATAAAAATTCTCACACACACACTCTGACTCGTCGTGAGCGTCAAAATCGCGAACTAACTTCCAAAAGCTGGTTCCCCGTTTCCCCAGGAGACTAGCCATCACCCCTGGGCCTAAACCTCTACCCCGAGAGCGAATGGAGAGTATCCTCTTCAGACAAGAAGAATGTCCATCATGAGATCAGAAAAATGTTTACGTCTTTTGGTACGGCATATAGGCTTGCCAACAAATCATCAACGACGACAGCGTCAACGACTCAAACATCTCCGAGTCTGAGCAAAAAACCACAGTCACCTGTGGTCACTCCTAAGAGATTATCACAGCAAGGAGAGGGCAACAACAAGAAGAGGCCGCTGTCCACGCCCAGCCCCTCTGCAGAAATTGACAAGCCAGCACAGAAAAAGCCAGCCCGGGATGATACTTGGACTAAAGTGACTTGGCCAAAGAAAAAGAAGGATAGAGAACAGAACCCAGCGGCTCGATCTGCTACAGCCCAAAACCAGCCAAGCAATGATGGCTCCAAGAAACCGAGAAAGAAGAGGACGAGAACTAAAGCTGTGCTTGTCCAACCAGCTGAAGGGCGGACATACGCCGATCTCCTCAGGGAAATCAAGGCTAAGGTAAGCCCTGTCGAGACGGGCGTAGACTTAAAGTCTAATAAAAAGACGAAACATGGAGGCGTTCTCCTTAAAATGTCTCGAAAGACCGAGGACAGTAAAGCTTTCACCGATGCAGTAAAGTCAGCCACTGCAAACATCGGCACGGTCAAAACGCTAACACCAACAGCAACGATCGAGATCCTCGACCAGGATGAAATCTCTACCGAGAGCGAAGTCCGTGAAGCACTCAAACGTGAATTCACAGACAACCTGGAGGTCAAACGAGTAAATTTGACAAAACCCACACCACGAGATAATCGGGCAGCCTTCTGCGAAGTAGACGAGGCCAGTGCGATT